TAAAACTTGCTCAACAAGTACTTTTGAAATATGAAAAGATTTAAATTAAGCCAGAAACACCCAGTCAAAAACCCAATGACTAAATGTTTAATTTCCGAAAATAATTCCCTGCCCCATCCTAAACCTATCTTCTTATGACTTGTTTGTTCTCATTGGCTATGTCATCCAAGAACAAAGTAAAGAGAATGTTGGCAGTCAGCCAGTTAATTAAAGGCTTGGCCCAAGGCTGTGGACATGAAATCACTTTGTAATCCTCATTTTCTGTTTTGACTTCTTATATGATTCAAGGGGATGGAATAATTGCCACAGTTTTACTTCACTGTTTCTTTTATAGAGCAAACAGCATTGACCGCTGGGTAGAAAACGTGTAAATTAAAAGTTAGCATTTCAAGAAATGTGTTTAGAGACTGGAGAGATGGCTCAGTGGTTAAGAGCATAGGCTGCCTTTGCAGAGGACCCAAGTTTGGTCTCCAGCACCCACATGGGGTGGCTGTAACTCCAGCTCCAGGGGATCTGACACCTCTGGATTCTTTGAGCACCTGTACATGCATGAGCAGACATATACATGTGTATATAATTTAAAAGTAATAAAAATAAACCTGAGGAAGAAATGTATTTGGATATTTTCAAGTTTTTACATGTTCTGATCAGAGTAGCCCTCATCAATATGTGAATAAGGGAAATCTATTATTTAATGGAATTCTGAAATTGAACCTCTCTGTGAACATTTATCTCAGGCATCTCAGCTCCTAAGGCCAGAGTAAATAAGAAAAAGAAAACTTTGAATATTTTCCCAAATTACGTGTATATTTAAGAAAGAAAAAAAAAACATAGAAAAGACATTAAGCTTTCCCTGTTTCTCTGTGTGATTACATAGATACTACATATTTCTTTTGTGTCCAGCAGCAAAAAAAACAGCCTGATCCTGTCAGCACCTGTGCTGGTTAGCTGGAGTGGTGAAGGCTTGTGCTAATGAGGCCCAGGTCAGGTATTTAATGCTCATGGGATCTAATTAGCTTCATACATAGACGCTCTGAGCTCCATCAAAGACGCATGCGCATCCCAAATAGTTCTGCAAACATCATCCCCTAATATGGCCACAGCCTGCTGTCTGCTCAGCCTTCCTCTCTGCTGGCCAGGCTCCCACACCAAGCCCACCATGGACAGCTTAAAAACTGGTGCCATCCAACCCATCCTCTTGTGATCACCCCGCTTCCTGTTTCCTAACACAGACTTGGTCCTCTGTCCTGCTGACACTCACATGCAGCAGGAAAATCCCAGCCCTTGTCTCCGCTCAGGATGTGTCCACCGTAGCTGAAACTAGTCTAAGGCCCAGTCATGTGTCTCTCCTTTGTAACACCACCTGTGACCCCTCTGTGTGTGAATTTTCCCCACAAGCTATCAATATTTATAGCCTCTTTCTAAGAGTTGCACTCTGTTCACTACCATCTCTGCCACAAACATTTCATTGCCATGACACTGTGCTTCTCCATCCTTCATCCTGATCTGGTGAAGCTCAGATGCTTAGTAGCAAAGGTTTCAGTTGAAGAATCAAAGGAAAGCAGACCCTGCTGTCACTCCAGCCACCAGGGAGAACATTTCAGAGCATGTATCACTGCCATTCTCAATAAAAACATTTTAATTCAAAGAAAATGACGTCACCATTCCACAAAGTCAGAGCAGTACCAGGAAACTTCCATACTCTACAGAACACTGAACCTATATTTGGTTAGTAATAATTTTTACAATATTTTTCAAAATATTTAAATATTTTGAAAATATTTAAAATATTGTGGGAATTTATTAATTATGCATAATTCCCCGACCACTACTGTCTCATAAAAAGGAGCAGTGGGGGAGAATTCACTATTTAAGGATGAAAGGAAAGACAGTTATTTCTTTATGAAAAATAGCAAGTTTACAATGTGAGATATTTAAGAAATAAAGATTGTGGGCGAGAGAGATGGCTCAGTGGTTAAGAGCACTGACTGCTCTTGCAGAGGACCCAGGTTCAATTCCCAGCACCCACATGGTGGCTACGAACTGTCCTTAACTCCAGTTCCAGGGGAATCTGAAGCCCTCCTCTGACCTCCACAACATTACACGACACGGGTGCACTCACATATATGCAGGCAATACACTCATACATATAAGAATAATAAATAAAATATTAAAGAAAGATTATTTTATGCATTTTCTAATTTAAGGATATATGTAATTGGGACCCAAATTTATTCGAACCCCTTAAACGTAGTTTTCCACAAAAATTGCCACTCAACTTTCAGGAGTGCTGTTATAATATCAAATACCCTTGGTTCTCCTCAGTTTTAGCACTGATCATTCCGCACTTGGTATTACTGCTAGGCTGACTTAGCACCCTCTTACCATAACAACTACAAGAGTAAATATTGTCATAAATTCTGCATTTATATCATCAAAATTAATAATTATGAAGACATGCTTAATTTTACCCCTGTTTAATACTGAAGTTATCTGTGGTTCTGGCTACTTCTACACAACCATGGTTTGGGCAGATGTACTACCACAATGCAAGACTGTATGGTTTAAAAGTGTGTGTGAAAATGTCATTAGGAATCCCAGTATTTTATACACTATCTTTAAAAAGATCATATGGTTTACTTTTGCCTGCAAGGATGGACATTTTGTGGGAAAGTTATTGGTAAGGTAAACTACAAATGCCCCAGCATAGGACCATGTTATTTTCAGAGTCTTGTAAACACTTAAAAGTCAACACAGTACAGGAAACCTGGCATACACTTGCTTCCCCTGAGCTGGTCAGAGTGAATGAAAGCATAACACATTATATTTTAACAGTGCTTCACTGCACCCAAGCCATGGTACTGTAGTGTCTACTCACAAACATGTTCATGGAGTTTGGAGAACTAGAGGTGTTGGAAAGACAAGAGACGATGCGCTATCGGTTTTACCCTCCCAGCAACTGGGTGGCAACAGATTGGAGTTTTAACACTAGTCTCACAGATTGTGGGCCCAGGATTATATAAGTGTAGTGGCTAAAAGAAGAGATCTGTGAATTATGCATTAAAAGGAAGAGCTTTCTAAAAACTTTAAGAATGCTGCTTATTATTTTTTACTACAATCATAAAATCTTCAGGGGCTGCCTCTGGCCACTGTTGCTAGATGTCTCTTCCTGGATTGTACCTTCCCTTTTCACTGATGGTGGGCTGTGGTGAGCAGGGTAGCCCTGCCCTATGCCTCCCTATTATCCTTTACTGCTTTCCGATGATCCCAGTTGGGTCCCAGCACTCACATCAGGAGGCTCACAACCACTTGTAACTCCAGCTCCAGGAGATCCAGTGCCCTCTTCTGTCCTCCACAGATGCACAAACACTCAGACACATACATACACATTAATAGAAATAAATCCTTTTAAAAAGATGAACAGGAATAATAAAGTGATGCCTTCTTAAAAAGAAGGACAACTAGCCCACAAACTAATTTGTTCTTGAGTTAGCATTTAATAATATTTTTTAATTTTTAATTTTATTTGCATGAGTGTCTTCCCTGCATGTATGTAAGTGCATGTGTATTGTACAATGCCTGGGGAGGCCAGAAGACAGTGTTGGATTGCCAGGAATTGGAGTTACAGATGGTTGTCAACTGCCATGTTGGTGCTAGGAACCAAACCCTGGTCCTCTGCAGGAGCATCTAGTGCTCTTAACTGCTGACCATTTCTCCAGCCCCAATAATTGTTTTTTTTAATCTCTCTTTAAAGCTGCAGATATAGCTCAGTTGATAGGGTGCTTGCCTTGTACTCACGAAGCCCTAAGTTTGATCCCCTCATCTCTTAAACTTGGTGTGGTGATGCATACCTGTAATCCCAGTACTTGGGAGGCAGAGGCAGAAAGATCAGACTTCAAGGTCATCCTCTGATACATAGTCAGAACAAGACCAGCCTGGGCTACATAAGACCCTGTCAAAATAAAAACAAAAAAAACAACAGTCAGCATAATCAAACCCATCAACACATGTATCACTTCACATTCTTATCATTGTTATGTAATGAGAACATTCAGGATCAACTTCAAAGCTGCCCGTGGTGTTGCAGAAATCCTAGTTCTCCAAAAGCAAAGGCATGAGAAGCGTGAGTTCCAGGCCAGCCTGGACTCCACAGTGAGTTCCAGACAGCCTGAGCTGCATAGCGAGACTGCATCTCAAAACGAAGTTCTACTTCAAGCATGCCTATTGTTAAGTAAACCCGCAGTGGTGTACAATAAATCTCCAAAGCCTGTTCATTCTAACTGAAACTGTTCTGTTTGATGAACGTCTCATTCTCTCCCCACCAAACCCTACAGCTGCTGATAGTGAGCATTATGCTCTGCCTTTCTGAGCTGAGCTTGTCCACATATTAGTAAAATCATGCAGTGCTTGCCTTCTTGTGTGGTTGGCATATATAGGTATAGAATATATATGATACATATAGAAATATCTCATCCTCTATCCATCTGTGCATCAGTGGACACTGATATTGATTCTATATTTTGGCTGTTGTGAATAATTCAACAACAAATGTGTATATCTCTGAAACACACTGTCTTTATTTCCGTTGGATATATACCCAGAGATGGAATTATTGGGTCATGTCATACTTTCATCTTTAAGTCTTTGAGGAATTTCCAGTATGTTTTCCACAATGGCTGTACCAACTTACATCCTACCAACAGATTACAGCTGTTTCCTATTCTCCACATCTTCACCGGCACCTGTTTTCTCTCCTTGCTTTGAGAAAGCCATTCTAACAGGTGCAATAACTCACTGCAGTATAAAGCTTTCGTTTCTCTTATTAGTGATATTGAGAATTTTTATATATAGCTAGCTGTATGTCTTCATTTGGAAATGTCTCTTCAAGTCCTTTGCCCATTTTTAAGTCTGGTTATTTGTATTCTTGCTGTTGAATTGTCTGGGCTCCATATGTATTGTGGATATTGACCCATAACGAATGGGTTCTACCATCTCTGCAGCAACCCTGATCTCCGAAGAACAGAGCCCGTCTTGGAGAGCCCCTTGCAGAGGACCAGCAGCGGCAGTTCCTCCAGCTCCAGCACACCCAGCTCTCAGCCGAGCTCGCAAGGAGGCTCCCAGCCTGGCTCACAAGCCGGATCTAGTGAACGAACCAGAGTTCGAGGTAAAGCATTCTCTTAACCTGTCACTAGCAACAATGTCTGGAAAGAAAGCTGTAGACAGGGAGGAAGGGCTGTTTCCTGACTCTGGCACTGGTGGGACCACTGTTGTGTGATATTGAAAAGCCCTTATCTGCTCCTGCTTCCAACTCATGAAGGGACTGGGCCGCCATCCCTAACCGTGCGTGTGACACCTGTATGGACAAAATGCCTGTCCAGTTAAGTCACCACTGTTTCCCAGGGAGATCTCCACACAGTGACATCCTCGCAAAATATGGGTACTCTCAATCTCTGTATGTCCCTCTCCATTGACTCTTCATTTTCAGAATGTCTTGCGCCCCTCTGTCCTGTTCCCATGGCTCCAGGAATCCCTTCCAGGATTCTCAGGGAGCTTCATAATCCTGGGTATCTCTCAAAAGGAAATTTCATTAAAAACTAATATAGAATAAATACACTAGAGAGAAGGAAAATATCTTTGCCCTAAACACATATATTTGACGCTTCTGGTTGTTTCTAGTAGATAAGTTTTTTAAAAGCCTCTCCAAGAATTTAATTCAAACTATTCATCATTGCCCAGTTTCCATTAATGAGGCAGCTCATGAACACATTAATATTATACAAGTAATTATATATAGCAATACATTGTCCTAACCAATCAAAATAAACCCCTCTGAGCCACTTCCTAAGTGCAATTTGATGAATATTGGTAGGCTTAGAAGTCACTCTCTCTGAAGAAAACTATCAATTCTTTATTCTTTCTTACCTCGTCAATAGACACAGCCATAATTTGTATCTTAATACTATTCATTTTTCAAATAAGTAAAACCACTATATCCATTTTGAAAAGCTTGGCATCCAGTGTGTCTATTGGTCACGGACTGGTCCACAGCTGCCCCTTAGGCATTCTTCTGACATCAGTGCCATATCCCAGAGCTCTGTGTGTCTTTGTGGCCCTGATCCAAATATAGATTTTTCTTAACCTAGAAAACTGCCATTCCATTAACTTTCTTTTTTTATTCATCAGAGACTTTGCATCCTTAGAGCAAATAGCAAAGAAAATCAATACATATCACTTTAATTCTCTGATCTCACTCAGGCTTAATCCTGATATTCCTTCCTTCGCTCCCTACTTCTTTGGGGCCTTTGGTGTATTCCTGCCTAGAAAAGACTGCTTTAAAACAAAACGAGGAGGGGCTGGAGAGGTGGCTCAGTAGTTAAGAGGTTTGGTTTCCAGCACTCACATGGTAGCTAACAACTATCTGTAACTCCAGGTCCAAAGAATCCAATGCCCTCTTCTGGCTCTGCAGGCATTGCACACATAAGTGTACTTACATACATAAGTAACACATGCATGCACATAAAATAAAACTGAATAAATAGATAAAAATTTGAAACAAAATGAGAAAGTCTGTGTTCTCCTGGGTTTCTTCTCAACCTATGAAAGCTACACAGCATCTTTTGCCTCTGTGGCTGCAGGAAGCTCCCCCCCCCCATCCTTGCTCTGCACCTTTATCTAGGTCCCTTCCTGTTTATCCTCACCTCCCTGCCCATACCTCATTCTTTCTTCATTAAAAGTCCAAGATCATGTCTCATCCCCATTTAAAATCTATTCCACCAAATAAAATAAAACTCTTTTTCTCTCGGTAAGCTTCCACCAGGACAGCCTGTCCTGATGGATAGGTGATAAAAGGAGAAACCAAGCCTAGAACTTTCATCTAGAAGCCTGTTTGACATAATGGTGACGAGGACTTTCAGAAATCATATAGAATCCCACCCAGGTCCATAGCTTCATCGTCACCTTCAGCCAATTCTATTGTCTTTGAGTCTGTGCTCAACTGTAGAATAGGAAAGTAGTGCCATAACCACTGGACTGGAGCAAGGATTCATTAAGATAATTGACAGAGAAAGGATGGAACACTGTGCCTGATGTACAGCAGGCTCAGTAAAAGATGACAGCCGTGCATGCTGCCATCTCTCTTTTATTTTTACTCATTTTTTCAGAGTTTATTTTTATTTTTGAGTTTTTTGCCAACATATACCACACACACGCAGTACATACGGAGGCCGGAAGAGAGTGTTGGAACCTCTGGAACTAGAGTTAGAAATATTTGTGAACTCCAGTCCTCTGCAAGAACAGAAAGTACTCTGAACTCTCCAGCCCCATGTCTCATTTTTACTGGTGACTTCTAGATTTCCAGCCTCGGTTGTCTATCTGATTTTGTTTCCTGAGTATTTATTGTTTTTAAGTGGATATATTCATAGATTTTTCCTACATGTGTGATGTGTATACTAAGTAATCTCAAGGGAGCATCCTTTTTTAAAATATTTTATTTATCATTTTTATTTTATGCATATGAGAGTGTTGTCTGTATGTATATAAGTGCACCCGTGTTGTGCAGTACCCATGGAGGTCAGAAGAGGGCATTGGAACTGGAGTTATGGACAGTTGTTGGCCACCAAGGGGTGCTGGGAACCAGACCCAGGTCCTCTGCATAGAGCACCCAGTGCTCTTAACCACTGAGCCATCTCTCCAGCCCCTCAAGGGAACATTCTTAATGGTTACTCACTCAGGTGCTTTTCTAATGGTCAAGTCACATGTTTCCTGGCCCTGTCTTTTCTCTAGCCAACAGTAAATCAGAAGGATCACCTGTGCTCCCTCACGAGCCTTCCAAGGTAAAACCAGAAGAGTCCAGGGACATCACCCGGCCTAGTCGACCAGCTGTGAGTCTTTTGTCTTTAAGAATTTTGAGCTTTTCATTTACCAGAAAGCCCACAAGATAAAGTAGTTGGGGTTAAACCCATGGCTGTGAACAAAAACTGTTGGGATGAATAAGAATGGGCACTAGAAGCATCTAGAAGGAAGTCATGCATGAACAGGAAAGAAGTAAATGGATTTGAGGTTGCTTCCTCTGCCTATGGACATTATGTGGTTCATCACTCCTATAGAAAATAAAATGGAGGAGAAACAGCTTATACATTCCGCAGTACTTGCTCAGTAATGTTAAACTGGCGGTCACAGACATTTGAGCTCTTCCTTACAGGTTGTTCTTATGTATTCTGCATTTTCTCCACATTGTTTTTCATATGAACTAGTTACAGTTTTCTGCTACTTTTCATGCCTTTAGGGACTGTCTTTTATAAACCAAAACTTAATAAGCATGATGTGAAACGGCCTGACAACTTGAACTTGAGCTTCATTGCTATAACTCGATGGACCCCAAGTAGGCTTAAAGAAAGAAAAGATGGGCTGGGGATGTAGCTCAGTTGGTAAAGACTTGCCTGGCATTCATGAAGCCCTGGGTTTGGTCCCCAGAACCATATAAACCAGGCATAGTGATATATGCCTATAATATCAGCACTAAAGAGGTAGAGGCAAGCGGGTCAGAAGTTCAAGGTCATCTTTGGCTACATAATGAGTTCAGGGCCACCCTGGAATACCCAAAACACCATCTTCAAAAACAAACAAACAAAAAATCTTCAAGAAAAGCAGCATGCTAGTTAAAAGGAGAAAGTTAATTTGTGGTTGTTTGCCATCCACTTCATTAATTTCAGTCTTCTGAGCTCTCTCCTATGAAATGAATATGAAGCCTTTTTCCTGTTTGGGCATCTTGAAATAAGGAGATATATTAAGTAATAATAAGAGGGATTTGCTTCATTCTGGGTAGAACTTGTCTTGCCTTTTTGCATGTATCTGTTTTATACTAACCATTCCACTGTTGTGTCTAACCTTCTTTTCTTCTGGCTCTCCCCTTCTGTGGATTCTTCTGAATTGGGTTCCTCTTATCACAGAGCTATAAGAAAGCTATAGATGAGGTTAGTATTGCCTTTTCTTGGTTATGTTTTCACAAGATGTAAATATTAAACCGATTTCCTGATATTGACATTCAGACTGAGGCCTGTGGGATCACAAGAAAAGCTTTCCTCAGGGTGGAGAGTCCCTTCAACAGAAACCAACCTGAGATGCTCAGATTTACTTGTAAAACCCTTCCAAGTCTTCCTGCTAAGCAAAAATGTCACTTTTTCAGTGCCCAGCTGGGCTAACAACAGTTATCAGTGCTTTGTTAATGGAACAGTTTTTCTTTCCAGTACCTTCCAATAACAAACCTGTACTCACCAACCTGTTAGAAGATGACTCTGAGTGGTTTTACTAACAAAGCAAAGAGATGTAATTCTAACACACTTCGAATTTGTAGTATATGATTTGTGAACAAGGAGTTCCTGTTAGATTAATTTTGTGGGGCATTAACAGCATCGGCAGCAGCAGCATCAACCTTAGTTAATGAATCCCGGTGAGTTAAGTAACTTTATTTCCTTTTCTGTGGAGGCATTTTTCCATTAGAAAAATATATGGCTTTGTCGATCGTAGATAGCTTGCTAAGAAAGATGATTGTGTTACTGTTGTTTGTCAGACCTGCATGAATACTGCACAGTGGAATTGTTCCTAGGGAGGCTTTGCAAAGAGTCCTAGATGCATGGAATCTGAGGCTTCCCATTACTGCTTTGAGGCTATAGCTCTGCTGAGTATATTTTTGTAAAAGTCTATGGAAAAAGCATTGGCTTCAGGGACCAAGACACTGTACTTAAAACTTGGCTCCCTCCAATGAATAGCTGGTTAAAATGAGTCTCGTAATATTTCCAAGCCAGTTTCCTCATCTATAAAACGGGACTAAAAATACCTGCCTTTCCTTACTGACAAGATTGCTTAGGCTGCTCTAGGTCATGTGAGCAAAGGCATTTTGTAAAGTGGAAAGTGCCGTGGAAAACCAGTTGTTCAGCTTTGAGCCATAGGCATAGAACTAATTTTGCAAGTAGAGAAAGCATGTTTCTGTGAAGCTGATTTTCACCTGAGCTAGGACCACCTCACCGTTCAGAGTGGTTTAGAAAGTTACTCTCACAGTTAAGGAATTGCTGCTAACGAAGTAATGACACTTCACATGGGATTTATGGAGAAGGAACAGGGACTGTTTACAGCTGTTCTGTACATTTCCCTCATAATAGTGAGAAGGAATGAAGGGGTTATCCCAGTGTTTTATCAGCTTTCGCACAGAGCAGATGGGGAAAAAATTGTTTTCTGGCACTGTGGCTGCTAACAAGGAGTGTGTGTATGCACAACCTAAGGGGGAATTGCATGAGTTCAGAACTGGATGTGGCGGTGAATGCCACAAGACAAAGCCTCTCCGGGGTTCAGCTGGCTCACCTTGGGTGTCTCAGGCTTTTGCAAATCACTTTTTGTTTTGGTACACGCCGTCACAGAATGGGGCGACAGAGGTATAAATAACTGATGTAGCATGAACCGCATGCCAAAATCTCTGGGGCTGTGTATCAGAACAGAAGCCTCCAGTGACCTGACAGCCCTGCCCCTTGATTGTCACTCACCTTGCCCACGCTGAACACCCCAAGCTGATCCTGCGTCAGTGACTCTTCTCCAGAATTGCTTCTCTTCCTTCACTTAGGAGCTACTTGGCAAAATCTGAAGTCTGTTTTGGTTGTTACACCTGAACATGGGGTCAGCACTATTGGCAGCTTGTGGATCGATCCAAGGGGTGGATCTAAACAACCTACAACACGCAGAAGAACTTCCCACAATAAAAAGTTATCAGGCCCCAAATGTTAATGGTGTCGTAGCTGGGAAATCTTGAACTTAACCTTTCTCCCTTCTCCGTTCCTTTTTTGATGTGACTTCTTCATGTGACTGTCTTGCTACTTGGGTGACCCTGAGTGGAAATGAAAAAGTCTTAAAACAACTCTTTTTAAAAGACTTACTGCTTGTTATTGCTAATTCAGTATTTTAAATTTTTCATAAAAATCAATCGGGAAGAGTATCAATTTGGCATTACCTTCTGGTGCAGTATGAAATGTTGCAATTGTCTGCTATTATTTAATACAGCTTTCATAAATAAATCTTTGACTTTTGCATAATTAGATGCATGGCACGCAGACTACCTGCAGAAGCAAACATGGGCTATGCCATTATTTTTTCTTTATATGCAGAAATCTGGATAATTCTAGAAACATCCATAGATTGGAGGGAACTGGAGTAATAACTAGTGGCCCAAATGCTTTTTCATCCAGATTAGGTCACTGAAGCTAAGAGTCTCACCCAGTGTCACACTTTTAGATTTCCTTTTTTAAAAAATCAACATACCAAGAAAAGACCAGCTTAAAATTCTTGAACGATACAATGGCTCAAGGAGTTGAACTACAAGTTGAATATATTATTTCAAAAAAGAAACCTAAAAGCATGTTTTGAAGGAAGATGTAAGTAGCTGACAGATGAAATAAGCTGTTCAGGGTGAAAAATTATATCAGGGTGAATCTAAGAAGTGCTATATCAAAGGAGTCTTTGGATGTTTGGATGTGAAGACTTTCACTTCACATTTGCACTGTAGTGAAAAAAAAATCAGCATTTGCCATATTTCTTTTTTAGTTAATGCAGTCTCAAATATTTTCATGCAAAATAGCACTTTTATCCCCCCTTGTTAATACTTTTTAGCTTCAGGCTTGAGACAGCCAAGCAATAAATTACCATAAAGACTCATTAAATGGAGAAAATTGGAATTGTCAGAAAATAAAATGTATGACAATGGGCCTGAACCCAGTGGCGTCAGTTTTGCATCATGTCTATTTTCTGTAACTTCACCATTGAACATTTTTTCATCATGGATAGCTGAGAAACAAAAGCAGTTAGCCATGTAGGAAGCTGTGGAAGATTAATTTTCTCTGAGGGTTTTACTTTTAAGCCACTCATTAGTCATACCTTGAGATTTTCAGGTACGGCTCACCCTCCAAGCTGTTACCAATTAAACTTAAAAGGAATTTGCAGTTATTCTTCATGTTTCAGGAAAGAGCTTTTTAATAATGCTGAAATAAAAATTCTGATTAAAAGCAAAATTATAAAACCAGTCATAATGTTAAAGTGATGCTTAAAAAATCATTGAGCTATTGACCTGCTAAATGTTTCTAACTAGTTTTGATTTTTTTTTTTAAACATCTCTCTTGTCTGATTTTGAACTGACAGAGATAAGCAAAGCCATACCCTGGGTGAAAAATGTATCCTTAATTCAAATAAGTCATAGTGGTAGTATTATATTTACTGAGACTATCGGCAATAGAAATAAACTCTTTTAAACCATATTCTCTCTTTAAATTATAATAAAATGTAGTTTTAATGATAAAGAACATTGTCAATATTAGTTATTCTTTGATGAGATTTAGCCTGGTCCTAACATATAAAAATCCGAATACAGAATAAATGTATCTAATCTATTGTTATGTTTACTACTTTGGGAGACCATGGTAGTCTTTTCCTTTCCTTGGCAAATCTGTGAACAATCTCTCCCTACTGTGCTAGTCTAGCATGTTTTTTGCGCTCTTGTTGTTGGCTAAAGATAAATCTATTGGCAGCTATCAAGAGGAAATAAGTAGAAAAGCTGAAATGTGAATATTAGCCTCAAACTGATTTGAGCCCATTGCTAAAGAAACCAGAAATCAATTTGCCTGAAATTCTGTGTGTGTGTGTGTGTGTGTGTGTGTGTATGTGTGTGTGTAAACCCTCCTCTTTAAGACCTATGCTTTCTTTGAACACTATTGAGTCTTTCGAATGCAATTCTGTATTCACTTTCTCAGATGGGATGAATTCATCCATGGAGACTGAGGTCCTGTTTTTGAGGAAGTGTGCATTACTCGGAAAAGCCTGAGCAAGGGTGTTTGGGAATAAGATGTGAAGCTGGAATTTCCAGAAGCTCCCCTTTCACAGGGGCTCCAAATCGGAAGACCTCAGGACAAACTGACTCATTACTGCTTTCCCTTTGACACTCAAGAAATGACCCTGACTCATTCACCTGACAACTTGAATTTCCTAAATTGCGATGAAGCATGGAATTGTTTCTTCCTTTAGTGTTAACCAAAATGTTTGTGCCTGATACCGAGGTGACAGTCAATGTAATAGCTTGTGCATTTTCTCAAAATTATAATTACTGTTTAACTGTACACATTTATCCCAGTTTTTCTTCTAACTGATTGGGATACATTATCTAACATCAAGTATGTCAGTTAGGCTAATCCTCCAACAGGTGAATTGGACAAATACATTTCTGGATTGAAATAAAGAGAGAATATGGCCATTTTTAAAATGTGGGATTTAGTATTTTTCAACAAGTTTCTTTCTCCCTAATCCCCTGTCTCTCACTGAATGCTCTGATTCCCACATGGGGCCCTAAATAGGGAGAAATGGTAAGACCGATGTCAAATCGCTTTTTCCTCATTTGCATGCTGCGTGCCATGGGCAGTCTAACCCATGCCAATTAGAGCGGCCACGCTTTTGCAGAACTGCTGCCCCCTGCCTTGCTCTCAAAGCATGTCGGTAAAAGGTAGCCAGACTTCCGCACACCGCCTTGCACTGTGCCTAGTGCCTGAGCGCCACCTCATCGCATCCATAAGGCTACAGGGTTCATCAAACTCATGGAAAACTGGGAATTCTCTCTTCCTTTGGGTGTTCACACATTCATTTCTGCGTTCTTTGTCAGGGTTTCTCCCAGGTGACTGGAATTTAAAACTTAAAAATGAAACACCTATGATTCTGGAAGAGAACATATTTTGTTTGTTTGTTTTGTTTACTGTTTGTTTGTTGTTCCTCTTGGTTAACTTAGCTCCGTGGCTCTGACTCTCAGTGGCACTAGGCTTTGGGGTGGGCTGTCATTTGATGTGGCATCTCTGTTCTTTAGGGAATAGTGTCACGCCAAATGAACTTTGGGGGCTGCTCTGTTCTGTGACTGATGCTAGATTTTGGTCCAGTAGCCACAAGAGGGAAAGGCCTTCACCGTGGCTTGGACAGGATTTCTAGAATTCTTGGGGGATAATTTCTATTCCCATGTATTTTCCCATTTACCTCTGAGGGTGACCAACTTTACCCTCTCAAAATAAAAAGAGAACACAATGTCTGTATGTATGTGCATGCACACAGCACGGCATGCACATATATGCACATACGTATTCAGAACTGAACAGTCTCAGTCTAGCCATTAGTTTTGAACAGTTTAGATTGATTTCATCTCCTTCTCTATCTTCTACACTCCACAAACATTGTTTCCTTGGTTCCATATAGTAACTCTGTCTGTCACGGTTTTCTAGAGAGCTTTTTTTTTTTTCCCTTGTTGCTTAAGCTGGAGCATTGACTGGCTGGGAGATAGAACTTCAGTCATATGTGCAGTTCATATGCTGACAGACTTTTCTTTTATAGGATCTGACTGCATTAGCCAAAGAATTAAGAGAACTCCGCATTGAAGAAACCAACCGTCCACTGAAGAAAGTGACCGATTACTCTTCCTCCAGCGAGGAGTCAGAGAGCAGTGAGGAAGAGGAGGAAGATGGAGAGAGCGAGACCCACGATGGGACAGTGGCTGTCAGCGACATACCCAGGCTGATGTGAGAGAATTTTTGTTTTGTTTTAAGATGGGGTCTATGTAGGCTGTGCCTGAGCTAACCCCAAATCCCTGGGCTCAACCTATCACCCTGCCTCAGCCTCTGGAGTAGCTGAGACTACAGATGCATACCACCATCCCCAGATCTAGATTATTCTCTCCCCCCCTCTCTCTCTCTCTTTCTCTCTCCCCCTCCCTCCATCTCTTCCTCCCTCCCTCCCCCAGCTGGCCTGGAGCTCGCTGTGTAGACCAGACTGGCCTTGCTCTCACAGAGATTCACCTGCCTCTGCCTCCCAAGTGCTTGGATTAACAGTATGCACCACCATACCTGACTAGATTATTTCTTAAAGACCAGGAGGAAGCTATGTCTCTAAACCAACGATAAGAACTATTAGCTAAATATGAATCACATATGGGTCACCAACAAGGTGATTCGGCTTGGGAGATTTGAGCTCTTACTGGAATGTAGTGCTATAATTGCCTGTCTGCATAGACGTGATCACTTAGAATTCATAAACTTTCTGTGTATGCTCTTCCCATTACTACTGGACTCGTATCCTTTATCTAGCTCTTTCTTGGTTCTTTTCATCTCCAAGACAAGCAGTATTGACAGCAAGACTATCAACACATATGACAGCATGTGTTAGCACCTCAATAAAGGAACCAGGGGTCAAATAACCATTCCGAGAAACGTCCAAGTGTTGCCTTAAATATTCTTTGCTGTTATTTTTTACTTCATCTTCTTCATTATTTTGTTTAATCCTTTTTTCCCTTTTTTGTGTGTATGTGTGTATATATACATGCGTGCATGTCCGTGTGAGTATTCATGCTGCACATGTGTGCATGTGCTTGTACAGACCAGATGTCATCCTTGAGGGTCATTCTTCAGGTGCTGTCCACCTCATTCCTTTGAGGCAGCATCTCCCTGGCCTTGAGCTCACTGATCAGGCCAGATGGACCCCTGGGATGCTCTTGGATCCTCCCCACGCAGTGCTGGGATTGTAAGCACACACCACCTCACCCAGCTTTTGGTGTGGGTTCCAGGGAACTGAACTCAAGCTCTCATGCTGGCGTTGCAGTGAGACGTCCTCCAGCCCTTGATCCTTTTCCTTTCCCCTGTGTTTTCATATACTGTCTTGACAGGTGCTCCAGTCTTGTTTTTGTGTGTTTACCTGTTTCTCTGCCTGCCTATATTTCCTTAAAGCACAGCCTTTGCCTATTTTTTCTTTCTCATTTTCAGCATGAGCAGGATGCTCGGGGTTTTTTGCTCTTTGGAGTGAATTCTTGGGGGATGTTCACATGGTTTTCTCTTTTGCTTTCCAAACTCCTTTCCATATAAACACAAGGGTTATCTGGTTTGCCACAACTTTGATGGGATGTGGTGCTCACTCTCCTGGCTTCCCTTCTCCCTCACCTCCATTTCCTTGACTTTGCTGTCAGTCTGGATCACCAGACAATACTCACTCTACATGGAGACCATTCCATGAGACCATAATTGCTTCCCTGCTCATCAGGCTCCAGAGAGATAGGAATGGTCAGTCTGCAGGGAATACCACTGCTTCATTAAGCACTGTTACATCCAAGAAATTCTGAGAGGACAATCCAATTACCATCATTGTACATCATGCTTGTTATTTTACTGATGGCCACTCAGTTACTGACAATCATAAATATGCTAACATAGGACATTTTGAAACAAGATATATTAAATTGTCTTTAAACAGCAAATGAAATTGTTCTAGAGGCAAAAATCACTAATCCAGAACATTCCTGTAAAACATGCTGGCCTTTTCCGTTTTGTCTTGACTCAGCATTGTTCAAGTCTTCTAACAGATGCTTAAAGTTCCCTCTAAGCCTTAGGCGCACAACTGTCAGGAGGAAAGTTGATTATGAAAGTAACAGATTGCTAAAATTCCCACTTCGTGTTAAAACACAATGCGGAGGGGTTTGAGACGTTTGAGGGGTCTGTACCTAAATTCTGCCTTCAAAGTCTGTGTTCTTGTTTATAGAGGTAAATTATTCGTGGAAAAATGCAGGTAACCTACTTATTTAGAACAACCAGAGATTGTTTGTGAAAAAGAATTAAATAGCGTTCTAAGCCCCTATGGTGTTTTATAACTCTGACTGCTGTTTGCCCTCCCACCCCAAAGGAGAATGTGGAGCCTCTACCCCACTGCAGGAACACCAACTTTCTAAAATCCCCAAAATGGACTGTGTCATGCTTCTCCCCACTGGCTGGTATTCTCCTGTAGACTTGGAAGTCTCCTACTCACAAAACCAGCCTGCTCAACCCCAGTTCCCTCTTTCCCATGTCACTGTTATCTCCTGGGTAACCCTGCATTTACCTGTTTATTGTGTTTGTCTCCCTCTCTGGACTGTGGGGTCCCTGAGGGTGGGAATAGTGCTTGCCTATCTGTTCTAGTTAGCTCTGTATTGCCGTGATGAAGAAAAGCAACTTGGGGAGGAAAAGAAAGGGTTTATTTCATTTTGCAGGAAGAACTCTGCATACTGGCTATGCTCCCTCAGGCTTTGGCAGCTGCCTTTTTTAATTTTTTATTTATTTTTATTTTATGTGTATGAGTGTAGTGCTTGTATGTAAGTGCACCTGTATCATGCAATGCCCACAGAGGTCAGAAGAAGGCATGGGATTCCCCTGGAACTGGAGTTATGGACAGTTGTTAGCTGCCATGTGGGTTGGGAATTGAACCTGGGTCCTCTGCAAGAGCAGCCAGTGCTCTTAACCACTGAACCATCTCTCCAGCCCAGCAGCTGCCTTTCCTATACAGCCCAGGCCCACCTGCCGAGGGATGGTACCTCCTACAGTGGGCTGGGCCCTCCTACATCAATTACCAGTTAAGAAAATATCTCATAGACAGACATGGCCATTGGCCAGTCTGATCTGGGCAGTTATTTAGTTGAGGTTTCCTCTTCCTGGGTGACTCTGGGTTTGTGTCAAAGTGACAGCTGAAGCTAACTATGCCACCATCTCTCTATGAACACTTTGTAATGTGTGGCATTGAGAGACTCTTTACTATGCCTTAAGTTTAGTCACAGTGAATTGAAGTGGCTAGACCCAGCCTCAAAGAGTTTAAAATGGCCTGATTCAAAGAAAAGACATGCATGTAAATAACTGTCGAAAGTCAGAAAATAACACGGGATAGGATTAAAATCCCAGGCAGAGGGAACTGCCAAAGGAACAGGAGACTAGCTGGACAATATGGCAAGTGAGAGAAGGGCGGGTGGTGGAGGGGACGGGGCGGTGGAGAAGGGTGCCTGCGCTTGCAACACCCAAACACTAGTGTACGAGCTATCCTTTGGCCACTGGGAACTGTTACAATGTCTTGAGCTAGGGTGTGATGTGATCAGTACTATGGTTAAGAGATTATTTCAGGAAAATGATTTGGAAAAGACCCTGGTAAAGCCATTCACAAGTTCTGTTACTATAACTCAATAATAAACCGAACCTAATGTGGGATGCTTACAGTGGAGACAAGATTTGACATAGTTCTTAAAGACTTGATAAATTTTAGGTACATTAAAACAATTGTCCACTAAAAAGTATTTAAGATATTATATTGTGAGATATATCCAGAAAAAAGGAAATAAAAAAGTGTGTGTGTGTGTGTGTGTGTGTCTTATGTGTGTAACTCAATTTGGTCTGTACTATGAATGTATTTTTATGACCATATAAAACAGATACAGTCTGTTCTCCAATTCGATGGTTGAAATTTCACACTACTAAAATTTCATTATAAAACAGTTACCTCTTTACAAATTGAGCACTTTGGGGCTACAGTGCTTTTTGTACACAATCTTATTACCTTTATTTTTCTCTTGTTAAGATAAACCTTGATGTTTTGTGCCTTATAGTTTTAGAGGAGAAAATAAAAACATATTGTAGCATAGTTCACTAACATGTAGTACACACAAAACATGCGTCTTAGAAATGGAGCCCAGCCTTTAGACAATCAGCTACAGATTCTAATATTCAAATAAGAACTTTTTCCTGTATCTGTCACAGTACTGTCTGTGTTCCCTGATTAACAAATTGCACTTTGCCCTGTTACCTCACACATGGAGAAAAGAAATGGGTAGAAGCAAATAAACCAAAATTATAGACACTCTCCAACCATTGTATTGGCGAAAAGATTGTATCTGTTTTCTATGCTCTTGATTTTTTTATTACATGTATGTTTCCAAATAAATGATGGTCATGGACTACTTTTACAATCAGGAAAGTAAAAGGTTTATGTGATAGGAAGAAGGAAAGTTGATTTGCATCTTATGGAGCAAGCTGAAGAGGAGGAGCCCTCTGCTGTTAGTACCTCTCTTGAGTCCCAGCTCATGTTGTGGAGCATTACAGTAAGGTCCAGTCTGAGTGCTGGAGAGACAACTCAGCACTGAAGGATGCTGCTGCTCTTTCAGAGGGCCCAAGTTCGGTTCCCAGCATCCACAGACATGTTGGGTGACTTACAACAGCCTAAAACTCCAGCTCCAGGGATCCAACACCATTTCTGACTCTGCAGGCACCTGCACACGTGTGGCATACACTCACACATACACATAAATAAAAAATGTTTAGGGTGAAGTGTGGACCGTGAGGACCATGTACTGGTAGCACAGTTCTTTCTATGGCCTCACTGTGCTGTCTGGATGATGAAAGCCACGTAGCTTTGTGCTCCCTTTTTCCCTTCTCAGTAAAGCACCATGATTGGATCCCACTGCCTGCCTGCCTGCTCAGCGACTGCAGCACCTCCCTTTTAAGCCTTCTGCCCTCCCAGCCTCCCAGTTCAAGTTCTCAGGTGGATAATATTGCAAAAGAATGACTGGTCATGTTTTATTTACCCTTTGTTCCCTGCAAGCCATTGCATCCCTGGGGGGTCATGACAAGCCTACCACATTCCAGCCACACTGACCCCTTCACCAATTCTTTTGCAGTGTGGGCCGTCCTTGGAGCAGTCTGCCCTCTGTCCTTTCTCCCTGACGTTCTACCTTGTGTTTTAG